ATATATATGTGTTTGAATTAAGCTGTAAAAATACAAATGAGGGTCAATTAAATAATTAAACTTGAGGTAAATGTCCCTCTTTTTAAATTAATCAGTGCATTGTATGGCATGGTATTTATTTTTTGGGCCATTTATATATTTCTGCTTTTGTTTTTAATTATATCACTTTCAGTCGCATGTGTCTATGAAGAGAAATACAGTATGTCTCACAATGGGAGTACGCATCCACAACAAGGTTTGAGAAATTATTTTTCCACAACAAGAACATGTCCATGGCATCAGCTGAAAGTCATCCTCAAAACAGACTTTTTATTGCAGAATATTCTGTGCGACCACACATAACTCATTCACAATGTTTGATAAAAACAATTATTACTCTTGTTTCTCCACAGTTTCAGATGATCTTAGTTATAACACTTTGTTATAAAGCGCAGTGATTGACATGCAGTCCTTCAAGAAAAAAGTGTGCAYTGTGAAATACACCATCACATCTCTGTGCAGTTATTTAGGAACTAAAACACAAGAGAAAACATCAGTTCATTAACCTCATTGTACTCAAGTTGTGTAAAAAAACAATATTTACACCTGTTTTTTCCCATACAGTCATTACAATATTAAATATATATATTTTATATGACAAATACYTCATATAGAGGTCACTGTGTGCTGATAGGTTTATGAAAATGAATAAATAAAATAAACCTCTCTTGTGAATTGCAGGTTTGCCAAACTGCTGCTCCGCCTCCCGGCTCTGCGCTCCATCGGCCTCAAGTGTCTGGAGCATCTGTTCTTCTTCAAGCTGATCGGGGACACGCCCATCGACACCTTCCTGATGGAGATGCTGGAGGCYCCGCATCAGATCACATGACACGCAGTTGCCCCTCCCCCACCCCCATGTATATACACCCCCCCTCCACACTGTGAGCGTCATGGAGACCAACTAAAGAGACTTGATTGAAATTGTAAAAGAACATATTTTTACCAAGAGCAACAGAATATTTGAAAATAGAAAGTAATATTTTGTGGTTGTGGGGAGCGTTGCACTGTCCAAGCAAATTATGCTAAAGTTCTTAACAGATTTTGTAAATAGATAATTTTCTGGTAATTGTTTTTAAAAGCAACCCGTTGTAAATGAAAGAGGAATCATGAGAAAAAAAAACAAAATACAATAAAACAAAACAAAAAACATCCCTGCATTTCATAAAAAATACATTTATTAATTCTTACTGAATAAAGTTATTTAAAATGTAAGTAAAATGATTGTGTGTTTGTTTTATTATTCTAATTTAAAATTAAAAGGAGTTTTGTCTTTTCATTTTTACTTTGTGTCCACCAGAGGGCACTAAAACATCACAGTTCAGTGTTCTAATATTTACCACCTAGCTGCAAAAGTTTATTGTTTTCATTCATTTATAACAGCTATTCTTTATTTCTTGCAACAATCATAGCTAAAATATGCTATTTTAAAAAATGTATTAAGATTTCTGATTTTATTTCAGTATGCCACATCATATTTCACACCCCACTGTAGGATCCTGACTCAATTTTTTGAAAGCAGAGCTAAAAAAAAACATGTCTTTGCAGTATGAAGTTCATTCAGAGGTTTATGATGTTAAAAGAAAATATATTTAAAAAATAACAAAAGACAAATGCCAAATTATGAGACAAAACTAAGTTTATTAGAGATGTTAATGTCTTGATGTCTTCTTCTCATTCTATGTGATGATGGATGCTAAGCACTATTTTATAAAACAAACTGTGGAACAGGATTAAGATTTGATGAAAATTATGGTAAATAGAGAATTCTTTCATGACTCACCTACATAAATTTGTAGTAAAGCTTCCCTTTAAGTGGAAAATTAGGCCCTAATCATGCCAGTCAGTTGTTTCCAAATGCATTTCATTTCGTTTGTCATTCATTTGCAGACTCAACGATCTGTAACATTTTTTCAGCTGAAATGCCTGGTACAGTTGGGAAACCCTGGGTCCTAGCATTCAAATATCTGGCTTTGACACTCTGAGTCTGGTCCTGCAGCCTGGTGACAGCTGCTTTTCTGACTTTAGGCGTCGTCTCCAAAAATGAAAACACACCATCTTTGACAAAACATTTTTCAGAGCTGCAAGGTGCAGGTTCATAAAACTCAACACTCCCTAAAAGTGCTGATTCAACCAACCGGTTTGATCTTAGTTTCCGTCACTAAAGCGCCAAAGTGTATTTTTTTTTATTAATCCCCATCTGCATATTGGTGTGCGTGCAAATTAATGGGTGAATGTGACTTTAAGTGGGTCAGTAAGACTAGAAAAGTTCTGCATAAATGCAATAAATTTATAATTTTATATTGTAGCACAGGGCTATTAAACTAAATTAGCTCAGGGGCCACAGTTACTCATAGCCAGCAGCTCAGGAGCCGGACATCAGGAGGAGTGGTGAGGGCGTTGCTTGTAGGGGAAATCCCTGTATTATGTAAAACGGGCYTCAAACTGCTCAGGGCCACATGAGTGTTACAGTGGCCCTCAAAGAGCCAGTTGTAATTAACTTTGACGTTTTGTGTTTAACTTTGCCTAAACAATAAATGTCATGTTCCTCATCTTGTTGCTACTTCTGAGCACCGCTAACAAAAAAATAACTGAGCTCTACGTGGTATTTACTGCATAGAAACAGCATTTTAACACATCCTCCTAAACACTGAAAAGTACAATGTACTGATTAAATGTGAAATAAACAATACAGAAATACTATTAAAAGTAAAAGAGAGTTTTACTCACTGTTGAGTTGTGTTGAGTAGCTGCCATCTTGAATTCTAAACTGTGGGCCACACTGC